CGGGGCGCCCGCCGTAACCATGGGAACATCCCAGTGGGTGGTGAAGAGGCCAACGGGGGAGGCGGTGTAGGAGCAGCCGGGCCCGATGAACGCCCATGGGTCGTAGGCGAGCTTAAGATCCACAGCCATGAGCGGGGCGACGGACTCGGAGCAGATGCCGTCCTTGTCTTGGCTGTTCTTGAAAGCGTAGGTGAGGTGGTGGTCGGGGAGCAGGGTGGGGTTGGCGTTGATGGTTTGGATGGCCCGCTCTAGGGCAGGACCAATACGAGGCCAAGCCCACGGGTAATATGTGTTGTTTTGTGGTAAAATGACGGCCAGCGTGATGTTCTGGAGCACCCGGTGTTCGTGGTGCCCTCGAGTTTGACGCCTCAAGCTGCGATGTCGAGACGATCGCCCGGAAACCGGCTGTAGGTCGAGCAGAACAAGCAGAACCAGCAGGAGAGCGGTGCCCTCTTTCCAGCGGGCCATCCTCTCCCCAGCAGGTAGTCCACTTCCAACCACAGCTGAATAATTTATCGCCGTTAACTGTGGACACACACAAGGGAGACATTAACAAAACATGCAACATAAATGAAGTCCTGTTATTTGAGCTGGAAGAATGATGCGTACTTCCTCTATCTAATAACACAGTCGGGGCACTGAGACCTGCTCTGGTTGGTCATGGTCGACTTCACTGTAATAATTTTGTCCTAAGTGGCCTTTGTGAGTTCGGGGCCATGCTGAGTCGTGGGAGAAAACCTCCCTGAAGCTGGGAAACAAGAGGACAATTTTCCTGCCAGCCCTGCCCACCTCATACAAAAATGTATGACACTGAAAGTGATGAGTGTTTTCTCAAGTACAGCCTAACCCTCATGAATATCTCAGACCGGGGGAAACACATTGTCATCCTGTAATAAAAAACAGTTGAAACCCACCTAAGAAAATGACAGATTTAATCCCACTTTCATGACAGATTTAGTTATGTTACCCGACTGATAACAAGGTTTTTTTTGTATGTTTTGATGAAACCCAACCAAGAAATGTGTCATAATTAAAGCTGACAAACATATAATCAACCACCGATCAAGGTTTTCCAATCAAGAGTCAGTGGGAGGAAAACCAAACAAAGCTACCAAGAGATTGTATTTTTACTGCAGACACTTGAATGTGTCATTAAAATATTTGTACTACTGTTTATGAATTGGAAAATAAACTGAATTTCATTTGTAAAAAGCATCAAATACAGCGGAAATTTGAATTCAATATCATCACGTTGAAATCAATTTGATTTCTAAGAATAAGCCAATAAGTTAATTTAGTCAAGTTTTTACTTTGCTTTGTGATTTTTGTAAATATTGCATATTTGACTTTATGGCTATGGTTAATAGCTTCTCTTTATACTTTACAAACACACTACTATCACAATGCTGCTTACAATAGATGACGACCTGCTTTAACATTAAATCACCAATACTACATCTTTGAGGCCACTGACAATTATATTACATTTAGCCAGAGATATCTTTGTCTAGGAGGTTGCAGCCGGAGGACGTCAGAGGGAAAAATATTCTTTTCTATAAAATATGATCCAGTTTCACCCAAATCACTGATAAAGTTGTGTTTGTGCAGTAATGAATCTTCACTCTGTGTCGCTGAAAGTTGATAAAAGATTGATCAACGGGTGAATGTCAGGATATTATTGATTGAAATCAGTTAGTTTATGCTGACGTAAGCACGCCTCACATTTTGTTTTACAGGAAGACAAAATTATTGGATTTTGATGTAAAAAAACCCCAAAGACATTGAGTTTCACATACATTGTTAAAGAGGGGAACAATATAACTCAGGATGTGATCTTAAAAAGGTTAAAATGACATTTTTCTGGACTTTTTACATTTTTAATTAATCATTTGTTCTGGCTCCAGAGACACAACCTCAGCTGGCACTAATAACCCTCCATACCATATAGCACCAGACTGCTGTTGCCATCTTTGTAATGGACATGCTGCTTTGCTTAAAAGCATCAATTCCCTCCGGATGGAAACACGGTCAAAACGTCAATTATCCTCTCGAATGTAAATCAATACATCTAAAAACAACAACCATGATATCACTTCTGAAATTGTCTTTCTCTTCTGTACCTCAGCGGGTGTCCGGTTTCCTCTTCATGCTGTTGGTTGTGAGTTTTGGTGATTTCGGTAATGGTGAAACTCGCTGCCAAAAACCATGCCCGCGAAAACATGTCCGGCGCGTGCCCTCCTACCTGGCAGCCGGTGAGCAGCGCGCGACGGCGACCTTTAAATCCCGTTTTTTAAAAATTGAATTTATTAATTAATTTATTAAATTATTAATATTATTCGCTCCTCTGGATTGAAGAAACTGTCCGAATTTCACCAGTTTTATGAAGAAAAAAATATATAATTAATAATTCACATTATAGTCTTTCAGGAGCTTCAGGAGGTCGTTAAAAGTTTAAAAATGCGTCAAATAGTCCAACCTCACTTAAACGTGTGTTCACCTGTCAACTGTAAGCGCCGGTGTCCTGTCAGACGTTTCACGTGGTGTGAAACCACAAACACACAAAAAACGGCAAATAAATCCACAATTATCCACAGTGACATGTTCAAACCGTTAAAACCACGCCAAATTGATCAGTAATCCCAATTCAGATTAAATGAAAAAGGTTGGAAGCAGGTAAAGTCCGTCAAAAATTAATTTAAAAAAGAGCTTAAAGCTGCTTTGTAATCCAACAGGTGAATAATCGGCTCCATTGAATTCGCTTCTTTAAAGTCCATCCGCAGGTTAATTAAAATGTGTGATTAACTGTAGTGTTGTGCAGCTGTGTTGGACCGAGAGACCGGACTGACTGCCGGAGGTCTGTCTGTCTGACTGGGCGGAGAGAGAGAGAGAGAGACGGCGAGGAGAGGAGGAAGGAAGGGAAGGGAGAGAGGAGAGGGGAGGGAGGGAGAGCCAGGAAAGGTGGAAAGGAGAGGAAGGGAGGGAGATTTAATAGATTATGTAAGAAAGAAAAGAGAGAAATTAAAGACCATCAGTTATTTATTAATTATTTATTTAATGTCTGCCACAATTTTTTGGTATTTTTATATAAAAAACTAATGATTTCCAACCAATAATATCCTG